GGAGTTAACCATCATTGGTACCGCAGCATTTCTTGTCTGCAAATGAGGAGACGTCTTAAAGAATGGTAGGCTCTTTCGTTAGAAACTCTTCTCAACAGATTTATAACATTTATCTGATAAAAGCCAGATAAAATGAAATAAAGATACACGTGAAATGCCTGCATCAAACCATTCCAACTTCAGGAAATAATGCCAAATTTAACGTAGAATCGTGATGGTTGTCCAATCGAAGACTATTAGTGAAATAAAAAGTAAATGTGGTAAATTATTCCTTCGCTCAAAGTGTACTCATCAGAATCCTTCTAATCTGATTGAAAAGGGTTGAAATATAATTAATAATCACCATAACCATTTACAGAATTTGCTTAAGTATGGCCCAAATGACAAAACAGGGTTTTGAGGTGGGAAAGCATTTTAGCGTTATATTTACTTACAATATAAGCTTGCACTTAGAATTGATGAGTCGTAATATGCATAATGAGGCAACTAGCAGAAATTGAATTTTACTACCACAAATAAATTTGGTATTATCGGTTACGCCGAGATCAAACTTACTCAATCTCTGGTTCATAAGGAGAAAGGCACGGCTTAGTAAAGGCCTGGCTACTAAAGACGTGTGGAGAAAGTCCTAGTGGGCTGGTTGGAGTACAGGGCTCCGTCATAGCTTCAATTCTCTGAGGAAAAGGGGAGGTGAATCGAAGGCCTCCGCGTGGTTTGGGAAGAGGAGGTGTCAAGCCGATTCTGGCAGATGGACTGGGACTCGTGGCGACCATCTGAGTTGAAGACAACACCTTAGCTGGCTGGAGACAAGAGTCTGGCCACTGAGATGACTGTCTACGCTCCTGAAGACCGTCTGCCCGGCCCAGAGTTGTGGAACGCATCAGCGGCTTAAGATGGGGCTTCAAGGGAGGTGGAGGATGATGATGTGCACATGTCGCCTCAACGGATTCTGGCTGAGCCAAAGTGCCCTCAGCATCGGAGGATGCAGGAGGCAAGAGTGTTGGAGAGGGCACATTCAGGGTTGTGTGGCAGGCTGGCAGGGCTGGTGAAGACGATTCAAAAAGGTCCTGATTTTGCACCGAAGATGATTTAGATCCCGACAAACGGTGCATTTGAACACTGGATTGGGTGGAAACAGCCTCTAAACTTCCAGGATGAAGATTATCTCTATTTTCTGGGTCCCGATATGACCAATGCTTATTAGGAGTCTGCTTTTGAGACCAGCTGCCAGGAAGATGACTGAACGAAGCCGCCGGCTGCTGTAGCAGCCTCGGTGAAGGAGAGACCACGTCACCGGGAGCCAGAGATCGGCAAGAAACTGTAGATATTGCACCGGATCGCTGGGCAAGCAGAGAGGCGGGGGTATTCAAGGTCTGGGTGGACGGAGTTAAGATGGATGAAGGTCGACTGAGACGCCGGGCGATTTGAAGACGAACACCAATCGCAGGAAGGGTGGCTCGTGCTGCCATGCTTCGGTGAAACAGCATCTCTTGGCGGTGTTCATCTCCACTGACGCCGTCTGCTCCTGCATCAGCGCCGTCAACCCAGTCGGAGTCTGAACAGGATGCAATAAAAGCACCGTCTTCCTGCAAATATCGAGGATAGTGGCGCAAATCAGCACTGCTGTGACGAAAGCTGGACGGACCTCCAGATACATCCTGAATACAAGAAAGAACACTAACAAACGTCTGCCGGGAGGAGATAGATCCATAGAAAGAAGGATAAGGATTGACAGAAAATCATATAAAGAAGGAGGGTAAAATATGTGCGCATTAAATGATGCTAGATCAGAGCAGTGTGGGGATGAAGCGGAAGAAGCGGAAGAAGCAGGATGATGCAAGTGATGAGGTTGCAAAAGGATGGAAGATTAAAATGCCAGGGATCAAATGAGAAATTAAAAAGCACTGATAAGAATCAAGGAGAGGAGGCATTGATAAGATTAGTTAAGCAAACATCTTGGGTGAGGTGCTTTAAAGGGAATTCGAGAAAAATAAAAGCTTTCGGTGAAATTCAAGTTGTATTTTATAGAATGATGACCTCATAGGTAGCTCATCGTAAAACCGAGAGTATACACCTTATGGCTGATAAAGCTTATAAGGCATGCAGAAAATCGAAATATGTAGTTAAGAAGAGCTTAGTCGAAAATGTGTAACCTTAAGCTAACAAACACCTTCCAGATGTTCGAACAAAAAACCCTTGCTGTAAAAGAAATAAGGTTTCTATACTGAATAAACCTTATCAAAAAAAGAGAAATGCACACTGCATTAAAATGGTAGAATAGTGACAAATAGCACAGACCAAAATACAATTCCATTAAGGGTAAGAGTAACACCTTATGAAAATTCTTATCAAACATGGATTGTTCACTTTAACGTACCCCGTTATTGTGGTTTCCAATTTTAAGATCTAAGTCTATCTAGTCTATGCCCCAAAATGTCCGATCCACAAATCTGTTGCCCAAACCGAAGTAGATGCTAAAGTCATTGACTTTATAGGAAAGGTTAGCATTTATTAAAGTGGTTTGACCTCGTTGTCACAACTTGGTTTTGTTGTCAGGGCGACTATGTAAAACGCACCTAGTCCGAAGTCGTCTGACATAGTAGTTGTCATGATTCCCAGCATCAACAGTGTACTTGGAACATTCTTAAACGTTTCGCCGGCATCATTCGGCATCATCAGTAAGTGCTGCCATCCTCCGCACCAAGCTACGAACTGTCTGATGCTGGAAATCATGACAACTACTATGGCAGACGACTTTGGACCAGGTTGCTTCTACATAGTCGCCCTGACAACAAGACCAAGTTGCGACAACGAGGTCAACCCACTTCTATAAATCGAA